CCGCCGCCGCCGCCGCCTCAGTCAGGTCCAGGCTGCCACAGCTTCTCCTCCGGCTCGGCCTAGTTTGGCTCTGTGCTCGAGGCGTGCAGGCGCCTGCACAGCCGGTACACGCTGTGCCTGTGAGGGCGGGTAGGGTGTGCCCGGTGGCCTCGGCCTGAGGCTGGAGGGCCTGTCTGCTCTGTGCATCCTCTAGGATGCACCTCTGAGCCTTCGGTCACGTCCCTGACTAAGCAGCAGTGAGGTGGGAGGCCTGGGTTGAGCGCCGCCCGTTGGTCTGCAGGTGCTGAGCGAGGGAGCGAGCGATGTGTGGGCATAAGCTACCTTATGCATTCACCTTCTTCTCTTTTCTTTTAGAAAGAAAGAACTTTTGGCCACCAAGAAGGACCGCGTGAACCACTGCCTGACCATATGTGAGAACATAGTAGCCCAGTCTCTCAGGTAACTGCTGCGCTTTCCGCTGGTGAGGCCTTCCTGTCTGCAGTCCTCCTGGTCCTCGTCGTGTTAAAACCTCCGGAGAATTCCTCTAAGGGGAGGACCTGCCCCTCAGCCCCATAATGCGTGATGTCTACTCTTGGTCATCCCGTCAGGGTCGCAGCCATGGTGGGGCTTGAGCGGCTTGTTCATCTCTAGCTAGCACTGTGGCCACTGTGATCACCGCACAGTCACTTGTTTGGTGTTTACTGCGGTAGTTGGAGCAACATGGGTCGTTCTGCCGTTGGGCCGGGTGGGCTCTTAGCCTCCCCGGCCTTCCCCTGGCGCGCCCGCGCCCGCGTCCGGCCGGTTCTGGGGCGAACCGGCGCTCTTTCTGAACCTGCCTTCTCTCCTTGCTTCTCTTTCCCCTGGAGTAAGCGCTTCATAGTATTCTCCTGCCGAAAGCTGCAAAGGGCTCTGTCTAATCAAGACTCCGAGAAAATTAATCTGGACTTTGGTACCGACAAACTATTCTTAGCGCATTAGTATTTTATGCTTTCTCAGTGATCTCACACACAGCATTTCATTTTAGTTGAATTCATCCCATCGTTTGTGAAATGTGGTAGATGGTTTGTCCAATTTCTATACATGGCGAAAGAAAGTGAAGTAGATAAAACACCCACTTCAGCTCTGTGGCGGAACTTCCTACAGAGTATCTGAAAACAGACTGTTCTCTGCTCTGACGAGCCCCAAGAGAAGCTCTCTGGGCCCATGAAACGATGAGGCTCCGGCTAGCGCGCTGTCAGGAAACGGCAGCGCTGTCCTGGCGGCGGGCGTGGGGACTGTGGTTCCAGCCTGTTCGTCATTCTGGGGCTTTCGGCAGGTTTGACTGGGAGCTTCCTTGAACGGTAAACCCCGCTTACACTGGGGAGTCATGACGCAGATGAAGCTCTGTGGAGGGCGACGCCGATGGTCGTCAGCTGCCGGCGAGGGCCGCACGCTGTGAGTAGCTGTCGCTTCTGCGTGCTCTGGCCGTGGGCACCTGCCTGGCCTCGAGGACTGGCAGGTCGCTGTGAGACGAGCTCTTCCTCCCCCAGTCTGTCTTGACCACCCCTCGTGAAAGCGACGGGCAGTTGAGTCGATTCGCGCCTTGGCGCACGTGCGGCGTCCGGCTGGCGGCGCCCGGCGGGCGGTGCGCGCCTGTGCCACAGCGCTGCTTTCCCGCCAAGGACTCGGACCAAGGCTCAGCCCAGAGCAAGGAGCACCGGCCAGGACCCATCGGCAACGAGCGCTCCCTGAAGAACAGAAAGGGCTCGGAGGGGGCCGAGCGCCTGCAGGGACCCGCCGTCCCGCCGGTCAACGGGGTGGAGATCCACGCGGGCCCTGTGCTGCCAGTGCCGCCCATCGAGTTTGGAGTCAGCCCAAAAGTGAGGCTTCGCCGTGTCCCGGCCCGACGCCGCTCCCGGTGCTCTGAGGGAGGGGACAGCTCCTGGGGCGCGGGGGGCAGGTCCCGCCAGCTGCCGTCTGGCGGGCGGCGGGCGTCCCGGGACCCCGCCGAGGGCTGAGCCGGCCACCCAGCGGGCTGTCTGCCCCGTCTCCAGGACTCGGACTTCAGCCTGCCGCCCGGCTCTGCCTCTGGTCCTGCGGGGAACCCGGTCGTCAAGCTTCAGGATGCCCTGGCCAGTAACGTGAGTCTGCTGCCCCCAGCTCGGTGCCCTGGCCGCTCTCTGCATGGCTTCCTGGCCGCGACCCGTCTGCTAGCTCACCTCCTTGGCCCAGGGGTTCAGTGTTCCACAGCCAGCCTGTGACCTCACCCTGGGCTGAAGTGAATGTGGAGGTTGGGTTTGTGTGCCGCTTTGATTCTCCGGTCTTCTGAGCTCTCAGTCTGCTACCAGAGGCCTCTTGGTTTCCCGGGCAGTGGGGGTGGGGTGCGGGCTGAGAGAGGACTTGGGGGAGTTGCCCAGCAAGGAGACGGTGCCCGGGTGCGCCCAGTGGGCTTGTTGACAGGGGCCGCGTGGGCGGCAGTCTGGAGCTCAGCCGTGGCCCCAAGAACATC